CATTTACACTGAGCAGTTCATGCAAGCTAGAAACAGCGACAGTTCTGGGAGTTTGAGTAATAAAAGTTGGGAAAACCAACTAATTATTGAATTAATTAAGGATACAGTTTGTTTGGTGGACACAATCCTTTACAGGCATGAAGAGCTTGGAAGAAACAAATAGCAAAATGGGCCATCTACAGGGGTTCTTCCCATTCTGACCTTTTCAAGTCTTTCTACAAATTCCATTTTGCACTCATCCCTCCCCAGCTTGAAACATCCTCTCTCACTTTAGAATACAGGTAACACACCTCACCCCCAGCATTCAAGGCTCTGGTCCTCTGGCCCCAGTCCACTCCCTCAGGGTACTCCCCTTCTCCTTCTTCACAGATTGTGTATTTGTTCTGGCCAGACAGCTGCTCTCTGCATTGCTTCCTGAACATTCCATATACAATCGTATATACCTTTACCTGTGCCACTCCCTTTGCCATTTATGCTCTCCCTATTTATTTGGATGAACAACCATTAGATAATTTGTGGAGTCAATAAAAAGTTATGAGCAACTTAAAGTTATGAGCAGAAAAACACAAATGACTCCAATTCAAAATAGGGCATGGTTCGAAGGAAAAAAAACAGGCTCGAAATATGTCCTAAAAAAGGAGACTGCTGTTGGAATTTGAGGGAAGTAAAAGTGTCTATCCATGAATATAGTTAATATTTCCATTTATTTAGGTCATCTTTAATTTAGTCTTTTAACAATGTTCTATCATTTTCCTTCTAAGTGTTGCTTGTTTATTCCTAGGTATCTGATCTTCTTTTCTTCTATTGCAAATGTTTAATTATATCATCTAAATATTCTCAGTATGTACAGATGTAATTCATTTTTGTGTTCTGATTCTTCTACTGTATCCACAACCTTCTAAACACTCTTAGTTTTCTAATAATTTGACTACATGTTCTTTTGGGTTTCTATGTAGACAATCATATATGTAAATAATAGCAGTTTTATTTCTTCTTTTTCCACCTTAACACTTAAAGTTGTTTTTCTTTTTTCTTTTTTTTGAAATGGAGTTTCGCTCTTGTCACCCAGACTGGAGTGCAATGGCACAATCTTGGCTCATGGCAACCTCCACCTCCTGGGTTCAAGCGATTCTCCTGCCTCAGCCTCCTGAGTAGCTGGGATTACAGGCATGCGCCACCACACCTGGCTACTTTTTGTATTTTTAGTAGAGATAGGGTTTCGCCATGTTGGCCAGGCTGGTCTCGAACTCTGGACCTCAGGTGATCCACCTGCTTCAGCCTCTAAAAGTGCTGGGATTATGGGCATGAACCACTGCACCCAGCCTCTTTTGCTATTTTTCTTTCGTCTTTTCTTTAAGGGAAATTTTTATGGCTCAATGTTTAGTAGTTAGGGGACTATCCAGGCTTTCTGTTTCTACTTGAATCAGTATTGACAAGTTATATTTTTCTAGCCTTAGTGTATGGGCCATGACCTTTTATCTTATTCCTGATTTTATTTTATTTATTTATTTTGAGACAGGGTCTCACTTTGTCACCTAGGCTGGAGTGCAGTGGCACGCTCATGGCTCATTGCAGCCTCGAACTCCTGGGCTCAAGGGATCCTCCTGTCTCAGCTTCCTGACTAGCTGGGACTACAGGCATGCGCCACTATGCCTGGTTAATTTTTCTATTTTTTGTAGAGATGGGATTTCGCTACGTTGTCAGTCTCGAGCTCCTAGACTCAAGAGATTTGCCCACCTTGGTCTCTCAAAGTGCTGGGCCCATAGGTGTGAGCCACCCTGTCCGGCCTATAGACGCTTCTAACATTTCTTCTCCTTTATGAATGATATTTGCACTATTTAACAAAAAAGTCAAGTTAATAGCATGAATAATGTGACAAACTGACATCATGTGTCCCATGATGTCATGACCTAAAAATGATATACCACCACTCATGCAATATTCTTGCCAAAAATATATAAATGATTCTAATCATGAGGAAACAATTTGGCAGGTCCAAATTTAGAAACATTCTACTGAACAATTGAACTTTACTCCTGAAAAATGTTAATATCATGAAATAAAGAAGACTATGACATGACAACTAATATGTAGTCCTGGGTTGGATTTTAGATCAGGAAAAAAAAGCTATCATAAAGGTTATTATTGGGACAACTGATATAATTTGAATTTGGATTGTATGTTATAATTAGCATTGTATCAATGTTAAATTTCTAGAATATGGGTATATAAGAGATGCTCTTGTTCTTAGAAGATACAGACCGAAGTACAGTATTTGGGGGTAAAGGGTCATCTCTATAACTTTCTCTCTTTTTTTGATTTTTTGAGATGGAGTTTCACTCTGTCACCGAGGCTGGAGTACAGTGGTGCAATCTCAGTTCCTGCAACCTCTGCCTTCCTGGTTCAAGTAATTCTCCTGCCTCAGTCTCCTGAATAGCTGGGATTACAGGTACCCACTACCATACCTGGCTATTTTTTTGTATTTTTAGTAGAGATGGGGTTTCACCATGTTGGCCAGGCCAGTGTTGAACTCCTGACTTCAAGAGATATGCCCACCTCAGCAGCCTCCAAAAGTGCTGGGATCACAGGCGTGAGCCACTGCACCCAGCTGATAACTATTTTTTTTTTTTTTTAAGAGCTGTCTTACTCTGTTACCAAGGCTGGAGTGCAGTGGTGCTTTTCATAGCTACTGCAACCTCAAATTCCTGGGCTCAAGCAATTCTCCTGCTTCAGCCTCTCAAGGAGCTGGGACTATCATCTTTATTATATCCTTTTCCACCTATAGCTTGCCTTTCCCTTTGCTATTTTCTTTAATGGAAATTTTTATTGCTTTTTATTTATTTATTTATATTTTTTGAGACAGAGTTTCGCTGTTGTTACCCAGATTGGAGTGCAATGGCACCATCTCAGCTCACCGCAACCTCTGCCTCCTGGGTTCAAGCAATTCTCCGGCCTCAGCCTCCCAAGTAGCTGGGACTACAGGCGCACACCACCATGCCCAACTAATTTTTGTATTTTTAGTAGAGACGGGGTTTCACCTTGCTGACCAGGATGGTCTTGATCTCTTGACCCCGTGATCCACCCTCCTCAGCCTTCCAAAGTGCTGGGATTATAGGTGTGAGCCACCGCGCCCAGCCAATATTGTCTTTCTCATTCCTGATGCCTTTTGTACCCTTTCTCTTTTATTGTTGACTAGTCTCTGCAGGGTTTGTCTATCACCCTTTTCTAATAACAAACTTTTGGCCCTTTTGATCTTCTCTAATGTATCCTTACATTCTCTTTCATTGATTTCTGCTTTTTATTATCACCTTCCTTAAACTTTCTTTGGGTTTATTCTGCTGCTCTTTGTTTAGCTTTTTTTATTTTTATTTTTTTGAGACAGGGCCTCACTCTGTTGCCCAGGTTGGAGTACCGTGTTGCAATCATGGCTCACAATCACCCTGGGCTCAGGTGATCCTCTCACCTCAGTCTCCCGAGTAGCTGGGACCACAGGCAAATGCCCCCATGCCCAGCTAATTTTTGTATTTTTTGTACAGATGGGGTATCGCCATGCTGCTCAGGCTGGTCTCAAACTCTTGGGCTTAAGTAATTCTCCTGCCTTTGCCTCCCAAAGTGCTGGGATTACAGGTGTGAGCCACGGTACTTGGCTCTAACTTTTTTTAAAAATTGATTTATCTAATAAACTTTATTGATCAGAACCTTCCCTCCCTGGGCAATGGCAAGAGCTTTGGAGACCAGCCCCTGGGGACAGAGGCTCTAACTTCTTAGATGGAATATTCGGTCATTAATTTTTAGCCTTTCTTCTTTTCTTTTCTTTTTTTTTTTTTTTAAGATGGGTTTCACCATAATGGCCAGGCTGGTCTTGAACTCCTGACCTCAGGTGATCCACCACCTTGGCCTCCCAAAGTGCTAGGATTACAGGCATGAGCCACCGCACCTGGCCTGCCTTTCTTCTTTTCTAACATAAGCATTAGTGCTATAAATTTCCCTTGAAGCACCACTTTCCCTACACCCCACAAGTTTTGTGACATATTTCATTATATCAGTTCTAAGCATTTTTTAATTTCCATGATTTTGTTTTTGGCCCATAAATTATTTAGAAATATGTATTTATGTTTCCAAATGAATGGGAATTTAAGATTTATCTTTTGTTATTGATTTCTAACTCAAATGCATTGTGTTCAGAAAACCTGGTCTGTGAGATTCTAATCTGTATGATCCAAGTCCTCTGGGGGTCTAAGCCTGCTATTTGTTGCGATGACTCTCACTCATGGTTGTGTACATGCTTTGTGATCTTTGTGAATTCATATCTCCCTAAGTTTACTCTGTGGGGATCCTGTCCACATTGTGGCTGCTTTCATCTGGAGAGGTTTCATGTCGGCTTCCGCTGTCAATCAGTGGCACTACTTGCCCGGGATCCCTCTGGCCCTTCGGGTATTCTGCCTTAAGGTAGAGACTCAGGGTTGGCATCCTGGAGAGACCTGCTATTAGGTTGATCGATGTGAAACTCTTGCTTTTTGGGGGTCAAAAGCAGTTGAACATCCACAATTGTATACGGTTCAACCTATACTAGCAACACCTGACCTCAGGACAAGCCTGTTCTTCCTGCTTGCTTACTGTTTACCTCTCCTGGTAGTTTTGACTCAGTGTTTGTTTCCCTTTTTTTTGTGGGGAAGGTGGCTTTGGAGACTTTCCCAATTTCCTATAATCCCAGTAAAGCATTAACAAATTATATTTTGTTCAGGAGAAAATTAATTGGCAGAATTATAGAGAAGAAAAGAGGTCTAGGAGTAGCTAGGCCAACTGCTATAGGCTAAAATTCAAGACAGGTGTATTTTTCCCAGTGAGGAAACCAAGGCTCAAAGAGATGAAATGACTTACCCAAGGTCACAGAGCTAATAATGGGCAGAGCTAGAACTTCCAGAAACTCAGGCTCTTTCTACTTTCCCTCCATCCTTCCCTGCCTCCAGAGAGCTGTTTGGGCCTGGGGGTGTCCTTACCTGGTGCAGGGGGATGACAAGAAAGGCCCCTCCACCAGCACACTCAGTCACAACTGCAATGAAGTGGGGGTTCACGGCACAGAAGTGGTTGTCGTGAACGCTGCGGGTGATAGGCACAGAGTCGTAGCAGTTCTCCTTGCTGGCTGGTTTGCCAAAGACATGGCGGAACTTGGAGCTCCGGTACTGGGGGTGCCATGACATCTGCAGGAGACAAACAGGACAAAGGGCATGAGGCTCACTGCCCTGATCATGGGACACACAGAGCTCTCATCTTCAGAGTACTTAACAGGGTGCGAGCAGGACGACAGTCCATTGGATGTGGATGGCGACACACTATGAAGGGCAACCAAGTGCAGAGACTCTACTTATAGTTAATTCCATAGACCTGGTGAGGTAAGATGGGATAACGTAGAACTACCACTGACCTGCTTGCCGATGTTTTAAGGCTTTTCATCCCTTTGAGTGTGAATACAAAAGGCAGAAAAACCATAGAGAGAATTTACCACATTGTCCCCTATTTGCTGTCTCACCAGACAGCCCAGCACGCTCAGCCCAACTAAGTAGGTTCCAGTGTGCTCTCTGGAGCCAGCCTGCCTGGGCTGCAATCTCAGTTCTGTCTCTTATCAACTGATGACAAGTGACTTAGCCTTTGGAGTCTCAGTTTCGCCATCTGTAAAATGAGGTAACAAAAGTATCTGCCTCATCTGGGCATGGTGACTTATGCCAGTAATCCCAGCATTTTGGGAGGCCAAGGCAGGAGGATTGTTTGAGCCCAGGAGTTCGAAACTAGTCTGGGCAACACAGCGAGACCCTGTCTCAAAAAAAAAAAAAAAAAAAAAGAAAAAGAAAGAAAGAGAGATTAGAAAAAGTATCTGCCTCATAGCCTTGTCATAAGGATTAAGTTAGGTGATATATTTAGACCCCATGGCATGTGGCAGATACTTAATCAACAGTGGCAATCACAACCACTAGTATCATCCGGGAATCTTCAGCTTGCTTTGCTCCTCGTCCAGCCTTCTATTTGTTCACTCAATATTTACTGAGCATCACTGTGTGTCTAGGCCCTGTGCCAGGTACCAGGGAGTTTGGAAACAGTAGGCCTGAGCCCAGCCTTTACAGGGGTGAAGAGGCCTCTGGGTGAGGCTACTAGGAGAGTCTGGGCCACTGGGACCCACTCTTCTATAGATAATAATAGAGATTTGCACATGACAGTCAGGGAGGGCTTCTCAGAGGAAGTGACAACTAAGCTGTGACTTAGAGGATGAGGGAGAGCAGAGGGAAGGTGTCTTAGGCAGATGGAACAGTTTGGGGGAAGCAAATGTGGTTTAGTGAGATTATCAAGGAAAAAATAAAAAGAAAAAAAAATCTCTCTTTCTCTCTCTCTCTCTCTGTCACACACACACCATGTAAATTGGGTAAAGTGAGTGAAGAGAATACAAGCCAGAGGGGCGGGGAAAGCTAGATCATGAGTGGCCTGTGAGAGGGTCTAGGCCTCTTTTGTGCCCAAACCCATGCCCATAATACCATGGGTCCTCCTCTAGGCCAGAGGGACCTTCTGAATACCAAGTCCTCACCACCCCACCCCTACCTCATGTCACCATCTATTTATTATTATTTTTGAGGAAGGATCTTGCTCTGTCACCCAGGCTAGAGTGCAGTGGCATGATTGCAGCTCACTGCAGCCTCAGACTCCTGACCTCAAGAATTCTCCTGCCTCAGCCTCCCGAGTAGCTAGGACTACAGGTGTATGCCATCATGCCTGGCTAATCAAAAAAAATTTTTTTTCTTAAGGACAGAGTCTTGCCATGTTGCCCAGATTTGGGTCTGAGCTTCCTAGTGACCAGTTCAACAAAGAAAACAGAATCAGACCGCATGTCCTCACTCATAGGTGGGTGATGAAAAATGAGAACACATGGACACAGAAAGGGGAGTACTAAACACTGGGGTCTATTGGGGGAAAAGGGGAGGGCCAGTGGGAGGGGGAGGTGGGGAGGGATAGCCTGGGGAGAAATGCCAAATGTGGGTGAAGGGGAGAAGAAAAGCAAAGCACACTGCCATGTGTGTACCTACGCAGCTGTCTTGCATGCTCTGCTCATGTACCCCAAAACCTAAAATCCAATAAAAAATTAAAAAAAAAAAAAGAAAAAGAAAACAGAATCAGAGAAGGATTTATTTGGTGTCTGTAAGATAAAAGCCACCCGTTGCTAAGGAACAGCACTTCTTTTCTCTATAGTGAGTTTTGAGAGAAATGTGTACTGGGGGTCCCCTGGAAAGGAACAACAAGGACAGATGACCTCCCTAGGGTCTTGGCAAGTAGGTGTCAGTGGAGGAGCCATCTTGGGCCTGGGCGGGGGGTGGGAAAGTAAGGAGCAAATCAGCAAGCTCCACTCCAGGCCCCCGACCCTTGCCTCACCTTGAGCAGCTGCTGGGGGTGGCGGGAGTGCACCTGTCTGCGGCAGCTGGTGATGCTCACCAGACATCCCACTGCTCCCCTCCAGGTTCTTTGCAGTCAGGCAGCCATAGTACACATTACTGCCTCCCATGACCCACTGGCCAGTAGATCATGGGAGGCAGTGATGTGTTTCACTTCCAGGCCAAAGCACATGAGACCTGCCTGTGACCCTCTAGGACTCTCGTCCTTGGCTGAAGGGATGAGAAGCATGCATGTTTCAGATGGTGCATCTGCAAGGTGGTGGGTCCCTCAGGAACCATGTGGAGCAGAGCATTTTCCTCTACTGACATACAGTGCAACAGAGAAATACACTTGTAGAGTGAACCGTGAGATAAGGGGTTATTTGTCATGGAGCACAGCGACCTGTCCTGACTCATACAGCCTATGCAAGTCCAGCCCATGGAGATGGTGGGTAGCTGCCTATGCTTGGTGTGGCCACAGAGAAGGAAGCAGGACCCAGATCTTCTCAGGAACTTGGACTCTGAGGGCAGTGGGGAGCTACTGGAGAAATTAAAGCAGGAGAGAGGCCGGTGTTGTGGCTCATACTTGTAATCCCAGCATTTTGGGAGGCTGAGGCAGGTGGATGACTTGAGGCCAGGAGTTTGAGACCAGCCTGGCCAACGCGGTGAAACCCCATCTCTACTAAAAATACAAAGATGAGCCAGGGGTGCTGGCACATGCCTGTAGTCCTAGCAACTCTGGAGTTTGAGGCAGGAGAATCGCTTGAATCCAGGAGGCAGAGGTTGCAGTGAGCTGAGATTGTATCACTGCACTCCAGGTTGGGTGACAGAGTAATACTCTGTCTCAAAAATAATTAATAATTAATAATTATAATTATAATAAATAAAGTAGAGAAGATAGAGGACCAGATTTAATTTTCAGATTTTCCTCTGACTACTGAGCAGAGGAAAGGTTAGAGCAGGTGAGAGGCAATGGCCACCTGGGCTGAAGTAGGGCAGTGAAGTGGGCGGGATGGTGGGGAGAGGATGTTACTGAAATACCAGAGAGGTGGGATCAACCAAATGTGGTGCCTGAGCGCATGCCGCAGGCCGGGGGTAGTCACTGAAGTCAACACGACCTTACATTAACAACAGCCCTGGCCCCCTGTGGACTCTCCGAGTTCTCTCCCTTCACAGCCTGCCTGTGTACCTGTAGGGGGTCCCTGGGGTCTGGCCTAACTCCTGAGAGCCACCCCACATCCAGGAGGAGTTAGGAGGCTGTAAGAGGCCTGGACAACACCTCCCCTGGAGCTCACAGTCACTTCCGTGGCAGTAAGAAGTCACAGTTTTTGAGTGTTACAAGCTGCCAGGTGCCATTCCAAGTACTTTCCTTGCAGCAAGAATAGAGCAAGTGGGTGTTACCTTGCTCCCCGGTTCAGATGCAGGTGTTGAGGCCAGTAACCAGGTCACCCAGCTAGTGAACAGCAGGCCTGGGGGCTGAACTCAGCTGACTCAAGCCTGCAGCTTTTGAGCCTGCAGCTCCAGGTTCTCACAGACAATATCCATGATGACATCTTTCATACCCATCACAGCCCTGGATCTCAGCTCCACCCCTAAGAGGAACTGTCATGATCATGATCACCCCCACTCTCCAAAGAAGGAAAATGAGGCCCAGCAAGCTAGCTAGACCCCTCTGGTCAGGCTCCCCATTTCCTCATGGAAGAAGCCAGCTGACAGCAAAGGAGCTGAATATCAGTGCCCTTCTGTCTGCCCCCTAATCCTCTCCCACCCTAACTCTTATTTGTACTGCTAAGATTCTTCCAGACCTGCTGTCACAAAGGGAAACTGTACATGTTGGGGATGGGGCAGCCGTTAGCAGGCCCAGCTACCTCTCCCTTTATGTGTGGTATGGAAGTGTATGTGTATATGCATGGGTGAAGCTTGTGCACAGGTGTTGGCTTGTGTGTACATTGTGTGTGCACAAGAACTGCACTCATCAGGATGTTCATGACTGCCTGTGTCCTCTTGTGGGTATGCATCCACCTGGATGTTTAACTGAGGCTGTGTATATACAAGTGCATGAGCGCATACGTGTATCAACACATGCATGACTTTAATGACTCAGCAATTCAGAGAACAGGAGTTTCATTTTCCCTACAAGCAGGGACTTGCCCACAAATGAGTACTGTAGCGGGCCCTTCACCCACAGGCTGGGCCAGAACAGTCAATTCGAGCCAGGTCTATCCCAGGCCACTTGTCCTATCCTGTCCCATTCCAGCTGGCTGGGCCCACATCAAAGCCCCAGCAGGCCACCTCAGGTGTGGCACTCTGGGACAACATGCTGGGGCACAAAGCAGGAGGTGGCATCCATTCTACTGCTGCAATCCCATGCTGGCTTGGTGGGCCTGATGATATGAGATTAGGCTCCAGGGCCTGTGAATTCCCCACTCCCAAAAAGGATTTAGTCATCTCTGGACTTTGCACTGCACCTAGTTTCTTTCTTTCTCTCTTTCTTTCTTTCTTTCTTTCTTTCTTTCTTTCTTTCTTTCTTTCTTTCTTTCTTTCTTTCTTTCTTTCCTTCTTCTCTCTCTCTCTCTCTCTCTCTCTCTCTCTCTCTCTCTCTCTCTCTCTCTCTCTCTCTCTCTCTTTCTTTCTTTCTTAGAAGAAGTATGGCTCTGTTGCCCAGGCTGGAGTGCAGTGGTGCTATCTCGGCTCACCACAACCTCCGCCTCCTGGGTTCAAGTGATTCTCCTGCCTCAGCCTCCAAGTAGGTGGGGTTTACAGGTGCGTGCCACTGCGCCTAGCTAATT